TATACCATCACTAGATGGCTGGATATGGCACTCTCATACTGAAATTGGAATATAAGTTTCTTTTATTCTCAATTTTTTTTTATAATTTTGAAAAATTTAGGGGACCCAGGGGGCCTTCAACCTGCCACTGAAACAATATTGTATGTGCATTTAATGAAATACTCTTACAAACCATTTCTTTTTAGCATTTATATATTTATTGCTAAAGCCATATGTGGAATTTGCAATACATTTAAATAATAATAAAGTTATAAAGCACTTAATACAAAATGATGATGCTTCTAAAGTGAACTCAAGAAATGGAATGACAACATAAAATATCCTAACAGTAACAAGAAATGAAAGATAAATGCAGAGGAACCATTTTCACCGCTCAATTTTCCAGTACTTTGAAGCTCCTATAATTGAGAACTTGCCGTAACAGAACTCATAAAATCTCAAGTAAAAATGCCTTCTATATAGAATGCAATCATGTTAACTAATTAATAAAATATTCTAACATTAGCCAAATATTCTATAGAAGAAAAAACATTCAAACTCTCTGTCTATAAAGCTAATATACAGTACGATAATATGAATTACTTACTTGTTTGTTATTAGTTTTTAATTGTAAGTAAAAACAAGAAAATATTCCTTCACAAAGTTAGTTAAATAAGTTTATCAGTTAAAGATAAATATCTTTAAACCTGTATAAGTTGATTTGTTTTAATGATGGAGAACATTAAAGTTTTGATGTGTGTCTAATTGTAATTTATTAACTTATTTGATCATTTTAATTGAGCTATTTAATGTTTAATTTTTGATGATGGGGCTTTCTTAATTTATTTACCAACTGTGTAATTAAATTATTCATAATAATAATAATTAAAAAAAATTTCTTTTGAACAAAATTGTTTGTAATACTCACCCTAAATATTCCCACAACATTCTAAATTTAACGATGCTTTAAGCACATTTCTGTTTTCAAAATTCAAGTAGAGATTTGCTGATACATAAATACAGTTGTACACAAAATTCTTTGCATATTTTTTCCCCTGCTATCCATGTGCTTTCTTAAGGGAAAGGTGGTAACGGTCACACAGTGTCAGGACTTTTAATGTATTCACAAAATAGTGTTACTTAAATGTCAAGGCTGAGAAACCCAGAAGTTTCCAAAGTTCTTAAAGACCTACAGTAGTTTCAATGTTGAGCCTCTTGTTGTATTTAGAAATACTTCAATGAAACCTTGGAATAGGGTTGTGATATGTTGGTAGGTGCCTGCCTTCCACTTAGGGAGGTCATTGTTCAAATCCTACAAACAACAAGATTTCTTTCTCACAGTTAAAACAACTATACTTTTTATGCTTTACAAAGTTTTATCTTGTCATTAGTAAGTGTTATATCTTAAAAAGAAAAATTAGAGTGAAAGAAAACCATTTTGAAAAATTAATAATTTGATAATAAAAATTTGTTTATGATTGTTTATGATTATTATGTAATGTTTACCTATTAAATTATTACCTATAAAGCTACGTTCATATTTGTTCGATTCATTTTGTTTGTTTGTGTTTCATTATAATGGTTAGGGAATTGAGGTATTCATAAAAATGAATACTGATTTTTTGACAGGAATTGAACCCAGGAACTTGTAATTGAAAGGCAGGTATTTTAACCGCAAAGTTTCTCAACTGTAATAATTTAATATTGTAAAAGCTGAGTAAACAAAACCAACTTTGGATTTAGATTAACTCCTTCACAATTACCAGCTTAGTAACATTACACTTTGTAATTTGCAGAAAAGATATTTAACTTTCCGGAAATTGACAGGGATTTTTTTTTTTTTTTTTTTTTTTTTTTGTAAATTCAAATTTTAATTTTTTCTTTTTTTGTAAATTCAAATTTTAAATTTATTTAAATATACAAATTATGCAATTTAAATGTAGGATTAATGTTAACATTTTTTCAACTCATGACTCATAGTACATCTTTAACAAATACACCAGTGATATACACCTTATAATGATAATTACAATCAGCAGTTTCCAGTCTTTTATTAAAATAGGAACCAAGGTTTTCCCATGAAAACTGCACCCATATGTTGGATGTATTTAACTGGATTCTTACATGGAATTGTATGAGATTGCCACACTTTGCCCTAATGGTGTCTTGGCTCTTTCTAGTCTACAAGTTTGGAGTTTGCAGAAGCCTGTAGGCTGTGAACAGAATGCCACATTTAGTGGATCAGCTCATGATCAGCCTAAGCAAACTTTTAAGTAACATCTGAAGTTCACCAGATGTTGACCTCTGACCTATGGTGGAAACCTAGATACACCTTTACCTATCCTAACTATAGTAAATATAAGAGTAGTTTATTTCATATTAAAATCTTGTGCAGCCAATAGTTCAAAATTGCAAGTCATAGATTTGAGATTTAAAGGAATGGCTAGTGTTCTTGCGGATTCTGTTCTTGCAGGTATACCTACTCTCTATTCCTCCTTTCGTATCTCTCTCAATATCACTTTTTTTTTTTAAATAGCAATAATCAGAGCGTGACTAGTAAAAGAAAAAAAATAGGATGATCCAAAAACATAAACTACAAATCAATGAGTGCCGACCTCCCTTTCTGTATGAGTAGGCAGTAGTCTTTTTTATGATAGCTTAAAATCCTTTCGGAAGTGAGATTTAGCATTTTTTTTAGACTTTTCTTTGGTGATTTGCCATGCATGATTTCAATTGCTACCATCCATTCATGCGCGTGTTTAGATTCATTATGTTATTTCCTCTTTTCACAGTTGTATATCATGATATTTCTATGTTGACCAAATAAACAATATTATTCCAGATATACTATTAACAATAAATGTTTGAATTGCTTTTACTTTGTATAAATGGTCTGGTTAAAAGATTTAAATTGAAAATTTTAACTAGAACATGCTTCATTCAAAATATTTTTTTTTTATTTAACTTAAAACTACAAAATTGTGCCTCAGGAAACCACAGATCAGTGAACCAACACAAAAGTGGGAACATTTTCTCATAAGAAGTTGAAAGCATAACGAATGAACTATGTAATGTTTACATTGAGTGCGTGAACTGTTTTTAAGATTTCATCACAGATACAATTATTATTATTATTATTATTATTATTATTATTATTGATATTGTTATTAGTGATATTATCATTGTTATTATGTATGAGGGCTCTTTAATAATTGATTAGTCAGCCATTTTCAATTTGAAATAAAATGATAGATAAATGGCAGGTTGGTTAAGGTGCTTGCTTTCCTTTCTGATGACTATCAGTTCGATCTCTGCATATGAAAATATGTTTTCCTAAGCCTCACGTTATTCTTGAGTATCATTCAGAACAGGCCCAGGAGTCCACGTTTATTCCACAAATGTACATGTCCCACGAACACGCATGTTTACGTACACTTACAACATCGTCCGGCAAGCCCTTCGCAACAACGTCCACGTTCTGTGGCTTTAGCGGAATCGGTCCTTCATTATTTTTGATTTCCTTTCACACCAGCCAGTATAAGTACACAATCAGGATGTAGACGAAAAAATGCTTTACAAACTAAGGATGCAATCTCGCAGAACCTCAAAAACTTTGCACAGAGTTTTAATCAGATAAAGATTTGCATTATGAACTGTGGTTTTTGGCCGTGAGAAAATATCCTGTTTTCTTTTTTTCTTTTTTGATAGGTCCCTGGGAGTGAAAAGCAAGCATCTCTTCCATCAAGCAGTGCTCCATAACATGAGGAAATTGTTTTGTTTCACTATATATTAATTATAAGATTACTTAATAATTTAACTTTTTATTAATTATTATTCTATGTGTACAGTATTTTAATTTTTATAGTTAAATATTGGTAATGATTTTTATATAGTATAATTGTACAGTAATAACATTCTACTGCATATAATAAGTGCCTTTCTGTGTGAAGTTTGTATTTGGTGTTGAGATAAGATCTTTTTTAATTTTTCACATTTTATATAATTTCATATATTTTTCTGCAAATTGACTGTTGTTTTATGAACTTGCCTTTCAGAATCAAACTTATAAGTACAGTATAAATAATTTGACAATTTAAACATTTAACGAGTTACTTTTTGCTTGAATCATTTATATAAAAAAATTTATATCATTAATTTATATTTATTTATAGCTCCAGTGTACTGTCACAATTTTAATTAATTGTTTATGCCCTCCTGGGTTGATAAGCTTATGTTGACAAATGTTTGTTATTGTATTTACGTACTAACTTTTTAGTGTTTTTTTTTTTTTCTTTTTTGACTGTTTTGACATGAATCATTGTTTTCATTGTATTTTTAGATGCTTCAAGCTAACTGGCTGACTGTCGTTTTAGTTTGTTTTTGTAATTATTATTGTATTTTTTATGGTAGAACTGTTTGTATTTGTGTTTTTTACTTAAATCCTTGGTAAAAATCCTTTTTAAATTACTGAATGATTCTTCGATGTTTTTTTATGTCTGGTTTTCATATGCATATTTTAACTTTTAAGTTGCAATAAAGATGATATTGATTAATGTTGCTTTTTATCAAGTAAATCAAATTAAATGAATGTATTACTGTACTGTATCTTGACATTTTGGTATATTACAAAATATACAATACATTATACTGTACTGTACATCACTGATGATTTCCTTCAGTTTCTGTTGTCTAACATACCTGTGTTTTTGAACAATAAAATAATGAACTACAAACTTGTTTCTTGTTGGAATATAAATTTAGTTGTGTAATGTGTATATGATAATTATATTGTTAAATGGCATTGCATTTAACGTACTGTAAATTAATTAACATTGTGAATGTGATGCATCTTGTAGCGACAGTCATCTTAACTGCGACATTGAGTAGAATCAGCACACTTCTGGTAGCCAACACAAATTGCTCAACACTCCAAATGCTTATTTCACTTCAGTCATCAACATCATCATCACAAGTAATATGCAATCTTGAGACATTGTCAAAAGAATCATTAAACACAATAATTATTCTTATTTTTATAAATTATATTTGTGTAACTGTAGCTGTATGATACACTTTCCGTAAATGCCACACATATGACATCAAACTTGCATAATATCTGACACAATATAACATATTCAAACTTTTCTAAAAAATCTTATAAAACACAACAAAACAGGTTTTATTTACAGTAGTCATAAACTAGACAAAATGTTATATAAACTTACTTAAAATCCTCTGTATAAAATGTTTATTGGTCACAAGTTTGGGGTTATTCGTTAAGATGTGAGAATGTACATCAAATTATATAAATGCGAATGTTAAAATGTGGAATGCCTATCTATAACCCCTACAAAAATATGAGTTAATCATGATATTTTTTTCTATATTTATTTATGAAAAACTATTTAAAAGTATAAAACAAGTATTTCTAACCGTTTACACCTTTTATATAAACATTTAAAAGTTTGCATAAATTATGGATCTTATAAAATAATTTAAAATTTTACAAAAATAGCAATCACCTTATTATGGAAGACAATTTTGCATAAGATATTAATTATTTAGAGATAACAATTGGAATCGAATATTGTTTAAAAGGTTAGGTTATGGAAGAACTTAAAGAGATTTTGGTGTGTGCTTTTGGATAAGCCCACCTGGTTAATATCTCAGCAAGCTACCAGAAATTGCTGTACAACTGCCCAGGTGTTCCAAGTTCCCTTTCCAGCATCAACAATCTGTCAAGTTCCATTTACACCAAATTTAACCTATCTAACCCAACTGCTGTTAAACTTCCTCAATACAATATTTTGTGTTGTAGTAGGATCTCTTGGTAATATAAGTAATTTACACTTTAAAAGTAGCCACAAATTACGCATAAAACCAAGACAACCCCCAACTACTGTAGCTTAAATGTTACCCAGTACCAACATCACAAAAAATGTTGACCTCAATGCAGTCACAAGTAGAAACCTCATATTAGCAATGCTTGTAAAAATATGTTATACTACATAGGCATTTGAATGTATCTACATACTTTAACAGCCCTTTGATATCAATAAGCTATATATTTGGTCAATTCAAAATGTGCATAGTATTTTAGAAACCCGACTTGAGGCTACTAATTAACTGTAAATCAAGGTGATATCAATTATGATTGCTTAAAATCAAAAAGTATTAGGAATCATCCGTTGATCTCATACAAAATTGTTGCAATAATACTGTATCCTATTATAGTATTTAATTAATTTTTTTTCCCCTCCCTTGCTCTTTGCAAATTTATGTATAAATATTTACATATGAAAAACATTTTTACTTATATTAAAAACTTTTATACAGATGTTTATAATATATACATAATTACAAGATAAGCGGCAAAAGTTCTTTAACATGGCTGGGCGGTTATGACCGCGCCATCGCTGCATAGTTTTCCCAAGATCTGTCCTGAAGGATTGGCATTACGGAGTTTGCATCAGCGACTTCCATGTACCGCTGCGACCTTTGGAACTGGAACATACTGGGTAAAGGTGTCGTCTGTGAGGTATGTGTTGGGTAGAAGTTACCATGTTGGGGACTGCTTTGTTCATAGCTGTAGTTTGATGATGGATAGTCTTGAAACTGGTTCTGATTGGTCGTTTGAAGTGTAAAGTCGTATGCTTGCTGTTGATGCTCTGGCGAGTTCAAGTTCTCGTACGTTGCTTGGTTGGTATTGACCATCTCGTGGTGCGGGCTTTTCATTTGTTGGTTGGGACTGCTTAGATTAAGCGGCGAGCTAGAGTCTTGGTTCCTGCTCATCCAGGGTTGTGTCTGTCTCGTTGAAACATTAGTACTGGTGAGAACTGTGTAGGCGGTGGAACTGTAAGGGGGCGGTGTTTCCTTGGATACAGCAGGCAGATTTGAATTGACGTTTGTACTTGGCATGGCATTTGCTTGACCAGGAAGATACATGGAAAGCTCGCTACGCTCAACAAAGTCATTTAAATCTGGAACATAGTCTATGACGTTTGATACGTACTTGGCACGCTTCATCGGAGGCATATCTGGGTCATTTTTCGGTGTGGTTGGTGGAGTTGGAGGTCCGTGTTGTCCTGGTGCAGAATTCTGAGGCATCTTAGTACCTCTGTATGGCATTTCCATACCATCTGTTGTGTCCGGTACTAAACCATTAAATACAGCAGGATTCAGATGACCTGGATGGGATGAGTCCGATGGGCAACCATTTTTGACTGGTTTGTTTCGGCGTCTGGGTTGGTACTTGTAGTCGGGGTACTTCTTTTTGTGTTCCAAACGTAGACGATCTGCCTCACCAACAAATGGTTTCTTTTCCTTATCAGAAAGCATTCTGTAAGATAGAATATTAATTGTTCATAAGTTAAATGTAACAATGTAATAGAAAGATTTGTGTGCTGCTTTTAATCAAAACTTTAAAAAATTAAAACACTGACTCAATTTGAAATTGATCAAGCTTAACAAGACATGTACTGTATATAAAACAATAAGTTAATACAGGTTTAGTTCTGTCTCTTATACACATCTAGATGTGTATAAGAGACAGGTATACTGTATATATATATATGTGATAGTAATTGCAGTTCTAATTTGTGAGCAGAAATGCTTTTAATGTTTTATTAAATTTTAGCAGTTCAAATATTGAATGTTTATTATTAGCTCTTTTATTTAATAGACCCAAGTTGATCTATATCAGCTGACTTTAATTTGTTTTACCGACATCATAAGCATCAGTATCATAACGTTAGCAATCCCTGGTTATTGGCCTCAAATGGTCGATTTTTCTTTTGTGTTTGTTTATCCTGCTCCAGGCAAAGGATTACCTTCTTTAAAAAAGTCAACCTCTAGAGATGTTAGTTCAAAACTTTGCAACACAAAAGGAATAGTTTATGTCACTTTATTACAAAGATATATTTTATAAAACTATGATGGCAACCTAGTTTTTAAATGGGTTTCCCCATCCCCACCTAAAAAATATTAATTTTTGAAAATATTTTAATGCTATTAAATAATTTTTTATTAAATTTAATTTTACTATTTCATTCGCACGTGGGATGGGCACAACTGTTCATATGAGCTTTCTAATTTAATTTCCTTTAGAAATCTTATTGCACAGTTTCCTATTTATTGATCAGGATTTAGATTATTATGAAGATAGATGGTGATCAGTGAAAATCAAAAATACAAGACACAAGAATTTATAAATACTTTAAACTAAATAAATTAAAGTTATTTTCTTGCCATTCAACCTGCATACTGTAGTATTTGTAAGGTATTCAATCACATCGCATATTAAGTACGTTGTTTCTATCACTCGGTGCAGAAGTTTACCTAAGTATTTAGGCCAAGGTGGTTTTGGCTCAACAGGTACGTACACTAATAAAACAGGAAATATTGATAATGAAAATGTCTACATACCTCCACAGACGTCCAAGAGTTTTGCTGAGTTCGGCGTTATGCAGGTTTGGGTACTGGTCTGCAAGTCGTTTTCTGGCTGCTTGTGCCCACACCATGAATGCGTTCATGGGACGTTTAATATGGGGCTTAGATTTTCCATCTTTGCCGCCGTTTTTTGTTGGCATTGTCACCAAACTCCAGTCGTAGCCCTCCAGCACTTGGGACACGGCATCACGAATGCTGTCTTTCTGCTCACCATCGGAAGAATCATCACTAACACTGCCAGGGGTACTTGGTCCATCGCTTCCGACCGACATGGAACGTTCAGTTCTCGATAGATCCAGCTCCTGTTCCTCGTTCAAACTCATCATGATGAAATGTATAAAGTATAGTCCACGAAATATAGCACAAGTTAGTTTTGTAAACAAGCACCTTACTTGATATTAGTTACTTCTAAATGCATTAAGCTACTGAGCGATAACTGAATGGAAAAAGTTAAATTCTACCTTTATATAAGCTCACGCATTTGGCTCCGCCCATTGTTTTGATTGGTTGGTTGAGTCACTTCTTCTTAGCCAGTGACTCAGCCAAGCAGATACTGTAGACCGTACTGTAGTAGTTAAAACTCTTCAAACACCTTGCAAGTAATTGCTATCGTAGTCAGAATGTGAATTGATTTTGTTTAACTTAAAATTAATTAATCAGTAATATTAAAACATAGTAATATTTAAAATATATGAGTAATAATTGTTTTCTTGCTAAAAATAATGGAAAATACACGTCCAATACAACCTGTGCTGACTCAACGTATGTTTGGTCAGATCCCGCGTGACTCATCACCGTCTACCGTGTGACGTCAAAGAAGTCTAAAATGATGATGGGGTCTTTGTTGCAACCCCGATAATCAAGAATGATAATTTCTATACAGCCTCCCACATTTAAATTGAGGGAAACATTACACAGCAGATTAAGAACCAAAACACTGATCTGCATTCTATGTTTTTGTTGATATTATTTGTTGTTTACTGTCCGTCTGACTACGTTTTATGATTAAGAGCAATACAGGTTTAGTTAGTACGCAGTCATTGTTTTTGGTACTGCATTTCTTTTCATGACAATTGACATACATATATGTTGACGGGCTTCATCATTGTATGAGGGTGGTGAGGTGATATAAGAATATAAGGTATACTTACTATCCAATTGTATTTATTCATATCAAACCATTAAAAACTTAAGACATTGCAGCCAAAAGTTGGAATTGTAAATTTTGTTTTTACAACAAAAATTACTTATTTATAATAGAATTTTACAAAATTACAGAACAAAAAATAAGGAACAATTACATGGTACTTAGTATTTGCCATTCCATGTCATGAATATCTGGCTGTCATTGACTTATAAACAGTTGACTGAAAGCCACTGCTGATAGGCCCTATACTTATTCATAGACTATAATTAGAATAATACTTCACATTTTAAAAATTACATGGTATATTTTATCATAAGTCAGCTTTCAATTACATAAATAACATCTAAGTTAGTCTCAGAGTGCTACCTTTTAATTGTCTTTGTATATTTAGACTAACACGGCTTCATTACCACTTTAATCAGAATTAGAACGCGACATTTGTTTACGCCAATATAAACGCATAAATGACACAACTCTCGTATAAGACCTTTTTTTAATTGATTATAGCTTTATAATTGGAGAATTTTAGTAGTAAAATCTATGAATTGGCGAAAACTGATTGCTCCGATCTGTTGTCATTGATTTGTAACCGATCTTTTTTTTTTCTTTTTCAGCGATCAATCCAATGTTTTAATTTATCTTTGAATTTTCTAAAGTTCAACTACAGATAGTTACGTAAGCCTATATCTTCAAATTAAGAGTTGTTTCAAGATAGGCTTATCTCCTGTTCTGAGCTCATAACTGCCTCTATTTGTCTGTATTGCGTGGGTACAAGGGTTCCACGAGGAGAGAGTTGGCGGTAATAAATGCTTGTACTCAAGTGCTGGTAAAGTGTTTTTATGTTTTGAAAAGAAAATAAACAATGATATAACGAATGAATGAATTAATAGGTAAACAATAAATAGATAAAATACAAACTAATCAATGTTAAATGGAAAGTAATCGGGAAAAAAGAGACATAAAAAATGAATTAGCGAGGGATTAAATATAATATTACGATGCGGATACACATACAAAAAACACTAATAGACCTTCAATAACATAAATCAATGAGATCGATTATTTTAGGCCTATTCATCAAGTGTATGGAACATTGACATCGTCTTGTCAAAAACATTGGCCTCGCTGTCTGCATTATCTTACAGGGGACAACAGCTTAAAACCAGAAACTTGCTCATTTCAAAAATGAATAAAAATTACAGTATCAACTACCGCTGGCGATTCGAATGTTAAAGGTAGTGGGAGCTGTAGCCTACACCTATAAGTGGCGCTGGGTCGAACGGCACGCTCGTCTATTGTTCTGGATACGGACTCTAAACCGTAGGCCCAGTGTATAATATTGGCTCGTGTGCACTTCAACTCCTGTCGTTAGTGGACAGACGAACGTGCGCCTCTTGGCAGCTGGACCTGACGTGACCCTTAAGGGAGAAGAAAGTTGTAGAATGAGTTGGTCCAGGCCTTCTTGCAAATCAGACTAGTTAAATCTACAAGCTGCAGGATTCACTCCATTTACATTTACAGAAAAAAAAAACATTATTTATTTATTTATTTTTTCTTTTAATTTTCGAAAGTCATTGGTATCTGCTATAGCTTTTCAGTGGATTGAATGCTCTCTAGGCTTATTTTAAAAGTAAACAATTCAGCGATTTCTGTGTCGGAGCACACATACAATGAGTAGTCCTAAGACTCTTCTTAAATTCGCTATTTAGTGACAACTAACTCCACTTATTTAGGTCAGCATTACAACAGGCCTATGCCTAGTTTCAAGTTTGCTTAAACACGATGCTTATTGTTAGTTCATCGGTTTCTAATTTAATAGGCATATTCCAAATCAAACCATGGAGGAGATATATTAATTTATTTCCTCCATGATCTAACAAATTTACGTCTGAAACGAAACCAATATCAACAAACTTTCGTTGGCGAACCAGTAGGCCTACCGGCATTTCTATGTTCTACCTGGATTTTTATTTTCAGCCTTCTACGTCTACATTCGTTTAGTCTACCACAGGTGAGTTATTTTATTTCTAAAAGTGTTGCTTATTGATAGTACGTTATACACCTCCGTTGATGGATGGGTACAAGTTTGAAATGTATTTGATGACGGATGAAGACCGGCCGTGTGATTGTTCCTTCTCGGAAATAGAGGTTTAGCACTCATTTAACATCGTAAATGTAGGCGAGAAGATGTGTTTGCAGAGTCAGATATTGGCCTGTTTAACATTGCGACAACAGTCGATGTCTGATGCAGAATGTTCTTAGGTAGGCCAGGTCCTGTACCCCTCCTCTGCCCTCTCTAACCCATAGACTGAGGATGAGACGTTGTTGAAACTTTATAGGCAATAAGTTGGTTTAGGTGGTTAGGCTTTCCGTTTTCCTATTCAACATAGTTCCATTGTTTTCGTAAATCACATGACCAAGACTAGGCCAAGGTACGTGAAAACTTTATAAAATCCGGCTTTATACCATATATTAATACAATTAACATAGGCCTATAGAGGCCAGCCTGAACATAGAGATAAAAATATCGTTTATCTCTGTGCCTAATTACAATTATCCTTATTAGGCTACTTAGCAACACGTGTATGATAAAATAATCGCTAATATCTCATTATAATAGCACAGTGCCAATACTCGAAAGCTTTATATTGCAGAAGTTGAGAGTGTCAAAAACCACAAAGTACCACATACAGTACCGTACTCCACCCATAGGCCTAGAGGTATAAAAATATCAATTGCTTCACATACCGTATGAGACTCATCTCCATGAGTGAGTACAGGTATACTGATAATTATTTCATTATCTTGTAACATTGTTGTATTTTGATTTTCGAACAGTTTATGTACCCATACTTTGCCCAATTCTCCACTGAAGGACCAGTGGTTGCGCTAGAGGGGGTACTGTGGAGAGCATATTCCCCCTCCCCCCGTCGGAGAAGACGATAAGTTTTGTCGCGGAACAAACAAATAAAAAAAAATATGCTCATTTAGATAGCATCATGATGGTTTGAATACATCGTGATAGGTGAAGCAACCTCGACCATGAAAGCGTGGTTGACAGATGCATGCAAAATTTCCAAGATATAGAATTTCACTTAATTAGATGGTTACATTGCATACGGTACTCTTTGTTTCTTGTTTCAGTCAAAATGTTTTGGTTTTAGAAGCTGATTTCAACATTAGAAAGCATAGCCTACATGAAGTCATATTATAGTAACTCGATGCCTATCAAATAAGTAATAAAAAATTCCGTCGGGCAGGTCCTGGCGCCACCACTGTGAAGGACCCCCCTCCCCATCACTGGAAATAAGTCTTAAGAAGCAACCCGGCCCAAGGACTCAAAGCAAGTTTCGGCTCGAACGCTGATCTTTCAATAGGAAGCCCAAAATTGATATCTTCATTGCCAATGCTTGTAACACGGAGGCCTACCTACGCCATACCGACAGTAGGCCTACTTAAATGTAGTATAGTCTACTCATTGTCTGCAATGTTAGACCATGGCTCTGTGTTAGACCCATAAGTAGCGCCCTCTACGCCAACATCTTAAACTTGGCGGTCGCTCCGCATTATACGGTCGGACAAGTTCTTGACGGGCCAAGCCCTGCGTCCACTGGTTATACCCGTTAAAACCGCGAACGGCACTCCTGCACCGGAAAAGCAATTAAGTCGATGTGCCCTAATGTTATCCATTAATGTCCAACGGCGGATTTCTTTTCTGTGGTTTACCGAAAAAATGAAATTGTAACAAACCATTAGAAGTCACTCTTTTCGCTTCCTCTGCATATTCCAGACTTGTTATAACTTTGCGAGGGACCTGACTTATAGGCCTATAGGGAAATGAAATTTAGTCAATAAATAAGGCTTATGTTTCTGTGTTAGCTCTCTAAATACAAAAATGCTGAATTTCATTCTAAAAGAGTGCCCACATACAAGGATCACATAATGTAAATTAGAACGAGAAAAAAAAAATCATTTAACAGACGTTTTACGATTTACGAAGCATTAGTATGTTGGATAGTATTTTAAATCATAGGCTATGTACGTATGTTTATGTAATATTTGACAGCTGCTTTTCTCAATTTAATTTCCGTTTTAAAAGACAAAAATGAATTTGAATTGAATTAAGATATCACCTTCACCAATTCAAGAATATGTGCATACAGAATACAGGAACGATATGAAGTATAGTGTACCGTATAGTGTAAGCTTACTTTTAATATTCGAGGGAACTAATTTTTATTTTTTTTTTTAAGTTATCGGCAGTTACAGTACTTAAGTTTGCTTGATGTCTTAGCAGGCATAT